TTTGAATTTACACTACCACACGTTTTACCCGTCTTCCTTTGCATTTCTGCATTTTGAGTCTAGCTACTACCTCGTGTCTACCGATTTTCGTTACATGTCTCTATTTTTCTTTATCGGATTTGTCAAATCTTCTTTTATTTTGCAAATTTTCGGTTGATCCATAAAACTCACATTCTGTTTAATATCTAAGCGTTTTTTATTTGATAAAAGGATCAACCATAACTTGAAAAATGGTGACTAAAATATCTTTATAATTGCTGAGAATATCGATCATAACAAGTTCTACATATAAAATCCATTGAGATAATTTCTTGTTAATTTCAGTCTCTCAAAATATATATTTCTCAATCACTACTATATATATATATATATTGCAATTGTAAGAAAAAATTATTGAATTTAACAGAGCCTCCGTAATTTTATCACAATTTCTTCGTAATAACATTTTACTCTCGCTATTTTACAAACTCTGGATACAAGTTTTCCTTGATTATTAATATCGCAATTAATAATTGGGAGAAAAATATTTCGATACTCCCAATTATCGCTTGAACATTAATTGAGCTTCGCCACGCTTTCAATCTTGATTGTCAACATATTATATACATCTATTACATACACACGTCGCTTGCGGATGATACATAATAGCATGCAATATACAAATACACATACGCCAATAGTACATGTCCAATATACGCGTATTGATTCGTAATACACTAGCAGAGTTAATTACGTTCGATTCCCTCCTGCTACGAGCTACCTTCCGACGCTTGGCCTCGTTTCGGAAAAAAAAATTCACTCTCACGAGCGGCGAATTGAATTTTCGACCCGTCTACAAAATCTCGTGAAGAAATCTCTCCGATCTCTCTGTAGCTCAAATAAATTTCGATAATCGCGGCAAACTGCTGAAATTGCTGTAAAAACTCGACACTTGAGAAAAACATTGAAACGCACGCGTTACAATGTTTTTCTTAATTGATAAGTTATTCGGAAAAAAACCAAAATGTTTTTTTTTTCAATCTTTAACAGATTCTATCTAATTAAGTACGTCGCTGACTAAAGCTGAAACAGATCAACATTGCGTGCTGCTACGCGAAGATGATGCGAACCGCGCGTTCAAAGGAAGTCGCAAAAGCGAGAGCCGAAGAACGTGCCTCCGCGAAAACCGCGGGTTCGCATTAAAGACAATCACAAGTTCACGGAACATTAACCTCGCGTTCGCGGTCGCGATAGGGTGTACGAGAGGGAGTGGAAAACCGTGAAAAGGGTGCGAGGGACGGCGGAAAGACGAGTAAACGGAGGGGGGGTGTACGTATGGCGGTAGCGCGTTACAGGAAGCATGCACTATCTGCAGGATCCATGCTATTTGCGTAAAGTGGCCTAACGCTATCCCTATTGCCTCTTAACCGACCCCTCCAGCCTCGATTCCGTGGTAACCGTCTACGTTTAGACGGCCTAGGGCGTAATACATTGTTTGCTCTTCGTTCGCTAAACTAAACCGCATTCGGAATTAATTGCACGTTAGGAAGCCCGCGAGATAATTAAAGCCGCCCCAATTGCCTCCCCTTTACCCCAGATACGTCGTTGGGAAACGCCACCGTTGGACATCTTCGTGGTTACGTGTTTAAATCTATATAGACGGACGTATTTTAGCGTAATATCATTAACTCTTGCTGTATTGTGGTTTAATATCGTATTAACTTTTTCATATTCGCGATATTCCTCTAGCCGATTTATTCTCGCCGTGCTGTGGATAACGTCAGAATCTCACTGTAACATACAAAACTCGAGAGTTTGTTTAACTCTTAATCTCTTGCGCGAGATGAATATCACAGCCAATATTATGGTTCTGAGAGATTAAAAGAGAACAATACAATATTCAATAATTAATAAATATAAGAGACAGAAATAAAATGTACGGTTCTTACTTCATTTTTCATGCACGATTCTAAATCGAAGAAGCGTTGTTCAATAGGACATTACTCAAGGAATTAAACCGCATAACTACGTTTTAATCCTTACTAAATCTTCGAGTTGATTCCGATTTATCGGGTAAAGCTCCGTAAAATCCTGCGATATGCGCGGACATTTTTTTTTTTTTCAAGAACGCGCGCGGGGATTCGTCGTCGAGCGACGATTTGCAAAAGACGAACGAGGGAGCCGTGATGTACGTGGCTCGAAATCGCGAGGACGTGCACGCCGAGCGATAATCGGATCGATCATAACCGGGGAATGACTCGCCTGCCGAAGGAAATTGGTCGTTAGTCATTTCACCTGGCCTCCTTTCCCGACCAGGAAACAATTACGAATTCGCAGTCAACAGAAGCGATTCGCGATTCGCTGCGATCCGAGAGAGAGATCAGCCAGGAGAACCGTTCTCCGTTTCTCACTCTCTCTCCCCCTCCCCCTCTCTCTCTCTCTCTCTCTCTCTCGGTTTGCGTCCGAGAAAAGCGAACGAGAGGGCAAACACAACGGCCGAGCCCCTCTCTATCGGTCGATAATCTATACGCTTTTTTCCACCGCGGAGAAACGCCCACGCCGAAGACCGGCAAGAAGCCATTGTTTCTCCGCGTACGGCCAGTTTGATTGTGCTAATGAAAAATGGGAAAGTAGTAAAACCAAGCCAACGAGGGGGAGGGATCTCGTCTGTACGCCGTCGAGGCGGCAAGAAAGGAACGGGACGGAGAATTGAACGGCACCCAAAAGCGCTCATAAACGAATAACGCTCATAAGAGATAAAGATACCCGAAAGATTATATCCATTATCATACATCTAGATAATGGAGAACTTTTTGCCCGGCGCCACGCGCCGTTTTCCCTGACGTATGACGGATATCAGTTCTGGGTTACTCGCACGCCGATACTATTCCGCAAAGTATTCTCTATATACCGCGTACGAGAATGATATATTATCTATCTGTAAATACTAAGTTATGTGCGCTATTCGGGATTATCAATCATTCCGCGAGCGCAAGGAAGCGATCTTTAACTTTAGATTTCGCGAAACTGTGCTGTAACGCGTTGCTATATGCGTTCCTCTCTCTCGCACTTGTTATAAATTCACATGAATGGAAATATTATATAAATTCCTTTGCTGATAATATAATCTTTCTGCGATCGCTTTAAGTTATTTATATTTATGCAAATATATAGTGTCATTCTTAAAAACAACTTCCTGTTTTTTATTGCGAGAATTCGCTTTATGTATAAAATCTTATAAGTTCAGCTTTAACATATCCCACCTCTAGAAAAATAGTGTCACAATTAAAATTTAGATTTTGAATTAAGCCTATAAAAAGTATGTCTAAAATGTTACATATGTGCTATATAATAATAGTGTCTAAGTATATGCGAAATCCGCAGCACAGGGCAAAAGCTATCGTTGTTCTTTTAAACCGATTATGTTGCGGTCGGTAGATGAATAGTGTCACAAGTGAATTGACAAGTGAATTACAACAGGTCTCTTCAAGAAAAAGTATAAGTTTCATTGTAACAAAATATCGTAATTGTAATTAAAAAAAGTTCAATTAAATTTGTATTTTCTCTGTCCTGAAAATTGTGAATTTTTTAATTGACAGCATTGTTCTAGAAGTGCGATATGTAATATGAAATTTTTCATTTCTTTTATATTATAGTTTTCAATATATTCGTTGTTCACAATGGTTGTGTATATTTGTTGTATAAATAAATGTTATTAATAATAATATATACTTCTTTCATTTTTAAATCGCGTCTTTCTATTTTAATTTAAAAAATTATTATATGTAATTGTATGTAAAATATGTTCATAAATGTTTTCTGTCTCTTATATAATCTCTATTCAAATAATTTCATTTTAAATAATTTAATTCATACATATTACTTGAGTATGAATTCAAGAATGCCTATCTATTTCATAAATATTTAAAAACATATCAAATCAGAAACTTTTATTTAATAAGTAATTAACAATAAAGATTTTTTATTCGACCCAACTGGTCATCCTAAGTAATTTTTTTAAAAAGTGCTTATTTTAACGTCAAAGGATGAATCGATTGAGAAAGATATATGGTCGAAACGTCGTGCCAATTATAATTAATAAGGATTGCCAGTTGGGTCGAATAAAAAAGTCAAAACACATTTTGTCGGTCGATAAATTGCCTATAGTGGTAAAACACGTAAACGAAGTGCAGGATCACGTTCACAGATGGCACCAGCGACAAAGCGAACAACTTTCAAATTTCCGTGGCTTTGCCGCCACGAGAAATGGCATATGCAGATTCCATTTCGCGACAACTCCAATTTGCTACGTGTATTTTCGCGCCGCGAAATTGCCAATTGCCATCGCCCCCGCGCGAATGTCACATGCGCGGCGTTTGTCGTCAAAACACGTTACTCCGAAACGACCAACGAGATCGAACGTCGGAGGTGTCTTGTTCGCGGAGTACCTATGTCATTCGCAACTCGGTTGCAAATAATTTTCGTAATATTGGATCGGAATGGATTGTGACGGACAACATATGTATTACATATTTCGGTCGTTTCCGTTCGCTCAGCCATCATCAATACGCACTTATGAATCTGTTTTACAAATACCTGGCGAAGGGGATCCCGAAACTCGCCGCGGCGTCCGCGTCCGTGCCCGCCTCCACCTTCCACCTCGTTCACGATCCAGAGATCCGTCCACGATCGCTCCGTCTCCGATCCGTTATCCGAAATTGCACTTGTCACACTCGCACACATACACACACATATACAGTAGAGTCTCGCGTCAAGTATGTACATACACGCGCTAGCGATGCACTCGACCGGTAGTCCGTACTCCGTGTATCCTTGCGAACGCGAGCCGTCGAGATGAGGGATCTTCAGGATGGCGTCCGCACTGGTCCGCACAGTGCCGCAATTTCAAATCTACTGCAAGCGCGGGCGCGCGACGCACCTGCTCCTAGAGGGCTCGTCCGTCGTCGTTCGCGTTCGTCACGTTGGCGGCACTGCGTCGCCGATAGCGCCGATAGCGGCGCAACTTGACGGCGGTACGCGCCGTGTCGGAGCGGAGTGGAGTCAAAGCTCGGAGCACAGCACAGGTATACGGAGTTACGGAGAGAAAGAGGGAGAGAGAGACCGAGAGCGAGTTGCCTCTCATATCGCCGTGCATTGTGATATTTGCGTGCAACATGTAATCGCGGCGACAAGGTGAGTACACGGATCGCGAAACAATAGTATCGGGGATGTCGCGAGAGTGCGTGAAGCAATCGTCGTTTTTTTCCTTGCAGGAGAGCAGAGGAAACGCTCGGCGCATCCGGTGGGATAAATTACCCCCCTCCAGGGGTGGGGTCAAGTGATCGCTGTCAATTTACAATTAGTAAACAAGTCTACGAGTGATGCCAATCGCGTGAGGGGGACGAGAACGAGGAACGCGGTCATGGCTCGACCCATCGTGCCGAGCCAGCAGAAGCTGGCCGAGAAGCTGACCATCCTGAACGACCGAGGTGTAGGTATGCTAACCCGCATTTACAATATCAAGAAGGCATGCGGCGATGCCAAGTCAAAGCCCGCCTTCCTCTCCGACAAGGCGCTGGAATCCTCCATTAAGACGATCGTCAGGAAGTTCCCCAATATCGACATAAAGGGGCTGCAGACCATTATGAACATTCGCAACGAGATCATCAAGTCGCTGTCGTTGTACTACTACACGTTCGTCGACCTGCTGGATTTCAAGGACAACGTGTGCGAGCTCCTGACCACTATGGACGCGTGTGGCGTTCATATGGATATTACGATTAATTTCGATTTAACCAAAGGGTATCTAGATCTCGTAATCACGTACGTCAGCCTGATGATTCTCCTGTCGCGGGTCGAGGATCGCAAGGCGGTGCTGGGGCTCTTCAACGCCGCTCACGAGATGGTGCACAGTCAGTCGGATCCTAGCTTTCCTCGTTTAGGTCAGATGATCATGGATTACGACGCTCCGTTGAAAAAGCTCTCCGAAGAATTTGTCCCGCATTCTAAATTGCTGAAAAACGCCCTGACCTCGCTGTGGCCGGTCTATCCCGGTAGAAACTTGTCCGCCGACACGTGGAGGGCCGATCAGAAGTTGAGTCTCGTCGGTAGTCCCGGCCAGATACTGAAAGCAGCGGCGACGGACACCATGTCTTGCGAAACGTTGAGTTTAGATAGAGTCGAGAGATGGGTGATTCTTGGATTTACCCTCTGTCACACATTCTTGAGTCAGGAACAACCGAGCAAGCTGTGGATCACCGCGTTAGAATCCGGATGGGTATTGGCGTTGTTCAGAGACGAGGTGATTTACATACATCAGTATATTCAAACGTTCTTCGAGAGTATGAAAGGATACGGCAAAAGAGTGTCGGAGGTGAAGGAATGTTACAATCAAGCGGTACAAAAAGCTGCCTACAGGCATCGAGAGAGAAGGAAATTCTTGAGGACCGCGCTGAAGGAGTTAGGTTTAATTTTGACGGATCAGCCTGGTCTTCTGGGACCGAAAGCACTGCTGGTATTGATGGGGCTGTCCCATGCGAGAGACGAGGTACTGTGGCTGCTGAGACACGGGGACAACCCTCCCATTCAAGGTAAAAGCAAGGGACGAGGTAGCGAGGATTTGGTGGACCGTCAGCTGCCTGAATTGCTCTTCCACTGCGAGGAATTACGAGCGCTAGTAAAGAAATATTCTCAGGTGCTTCAGAGGTATTACGTCCAATTTCTTTCGGGCTTCGACGCCCCCGCTTTACATCAGATGATACAAAACCTGCCGGTCTGTCCGGAGGACGAGGGGGCTATTCTTAGTGATATGTGTTCAATTATAGCTAGTCTGACCGTAAAGCAGGTCGAGGAAAATGAATTGTTTGATTTCCGTGCCTTTCGACTGGATTGGTTTAGGCTGCAGGCCTACATGTCTATTGCGAAGTGCAATATGAATCTGGCTGATAATAGAGAGTTAGCTTCCTTCATGGATACGGTAATCTTCCACACGAAAATGGTCGACAATTTGGACGAGATGTTGGTCGAGACGTCCGATTTATCCATCTTCTGCTTCTACAGCAAGATATTCGAGGATCAGTTTCACATGTGTCTCGAGTTTCCCGCTCAGAACCGTTATATCGTCGCCTTCCCGCTCATATGCAGTCACTTTCAGAGTTGCACCCACGAGCTCTGCCCGGAGGAACGTCATCACATTCGCGAGAGGAGCCTTTCCGTCGTCAATATGTTCCTGGATGAAATGGCCAAGGAAGCTAAGAACATTATCACGACCATTTGCGACGAGCAGTGTAACATGAGCGACAAACTGTTGCCGAAGCACTGCGCTCTGTTAATCTCACAGGTTGTTAATCGCAAGAAGAAGGATAAGAACAAGAAGAACATGTACGAGATTCACAAGCCCGGTATAGAGAGCTATCGGAAGACCCGGGAGGAATTAACGACGATGGACAAGCTGCACATGGCCCTCACCGAGCTGTGTTACGCCATTAATTACTGCCCTACCATTAATGTCTGGGAGTACACCTTCGCGCCGAGGGAGTATCTGCATCAACATCTGGAGTCGCGATTCGCTAGAGCGTTGGTGGGAATGGTCATGTACAATCCGGATACCAGCGAGATAGCCAAGCCGTCTGAGCTCTTCGTCAGCGTTAGATCTTACATGAACGTTCTTCAGACTATCGAGAATTACGTGCACATAGATATCACGCGTGTCTTCAACAACGCCCTGCTGCAGCAAACCCAGGAGCTGGACAGTCACGGTGACAAGACTATAGCCGCGCTCTACACGCAATGGTATTCGGACGTTCTACTGAGGCGAGTCAGCGCCGGTAACATTTGTTACTCGGCGAATCAACGGGCGTTCGTCAGCTTGTCGGTTGAAGGTGCCATACCCTTTAACGCCGAGGAGTTCTCCGACATTAACGAGCTACGGGCATTAGCGGAATTGATAGGACCGTACGGTATGAAGATGTTGAACGAGAACTTGATGTGGCATATCGCCAGTCAGGTGCAGCAGCTGAAGAAGCTGGTGGCCGGCAACAAGGATGTGCTGATCTCTCTGAGGACGAATTTCGACAAGCCAGAAGTGATGAAGGAGCAGTTCAAGAAGCTACAGCACGTGGACAACGTTCTTCAGCGAGTCACTATAATAGGTGTGATTCTCAGCTTCCGGCAGTTGTCACAGTCAGCCCTGGTCGACGTGTTGGAGGAACGTATACCATTCTTACTGAGCTCTATATTGGACTTCAGACATCATCTGCCGTCCGGCGATCCTATGCGCGTCGTCTCCGAGATGACGTCGGCCGCGGGCTTGACCTGCAAGGTCGATCCCACTTTGACGACCGCGCTGCGAAATCAGAAGGCTGAAGTCGACGAGGACGAACACCTGCTCGTTTGCCTGCTAATGGTCTTCGTGGCGGTTTCTATTCCGAAATTGGCTCGGAACGACAACTCCTTTTACAGAGCGTCACTCGAGGGCCACTCCAACAACATACACTGCATGGCGACCGCGATTAACAATATATTCGGAGCGTTGTTTACGATTTGCGGGCAGAACGACATAGAAGACAGGATGAAGGAATTCCTCGCTTTGGCTTCGTCGAGCTTGTTAAGATTGGGCCAAGAGGCGGACAAGGAGGCGACCCGGAACAGAGAGTCCGTGTATCTTCTGCTCGATCAAATAGTTCAAGAATCTCCATTCCTGACGATGGATCTATTGGAGAGTTGTTTCCCTTATGCACTGATACGCAACGCATATCACGATGTGTACAAGCTCGAGCACTCGCAACAGTGAACTTAATAGCGAAATTGCGAGCGCGAGAGACGGGGTGCTGCATTTGTAACTTGCCACTCAGGGCCACTTTTTTACGTCCACTCGTAACATCGGATGCAATCGTCAAAACTTTGCTACTATATATCGCCTGGCCAAGCGATAACTTTCCAGATTAGTTTTCGGTTAGCGTCGCTGAAAAAAAAATACGAGCATATATCAGCGAAAGGATAAAAGAGTGGTAAATGCATAAGATTGTTCAAAGATTGATTAAAGTTATCGACAAGTTATTCCTCGATATTTCAACAGAACGGTACAAGCTTGCGGCATTGTAACGCACCTTAGCCATTTCCCTACGTTGCTTGCGGCAAAAATACAGTTGAGATGTTTATTATGAAATATATGTATAATTCGATTCTGCCTTTATAAGCTTTATACTCGAAATCTTTATCGAGGAAAATTAATCGACGGATAATTCTTACGGAACTTCATAATGAAGTGATATGTAATATGCATTTCTTGTAATGTACAGTATTATCTCAATTATATTTGACATCTGGTTTGAAATATTCGTTATTAATAATTGCATATCTTGAATTCCAGTCGAGTATTAGTATATTTTATGTTAAAGAATGTTTCTATTGCACAGGGATGCGTGATGTAAGGCTCCCATTGACTTTGAAGCTAAAGATCGCGATATTCATGTATCACACAGTAGGTATCGTCATTTACCCACTATGACTTTTTAATGTACAATTGTAACTCTTTTACAATAGTTTATATAACAAATAAAACTTATTATGTGTACAAAACAACGTTCGTAATCCTCAAAGATCCCTTCGTCGTTCCAAAGACCACACGCGGGTAAATGTAAAATGTATGCTTTATTTAATTCTTTACAATGTTTTGTCTCTTTTAATCACATTAACGTAACACAAGAGATATTCACAATCATAATTCTTTTATTTATAATATCCTTAAAACACTCGCCGCATTCTAGACATTTTGGGAAAAGAGAGAGTGGTGGTCTGAAGCTACGTTCAGCGATTGGTCAGTATCATGCTCGGTTATAATAATTTACAATAAAGAGATACACACTTCAAGAACGCGTCACTCAAAGTTGCACCGACTAAAAGTAGATATACGGCACGAACATAAGGGCCACTTGGTGTTCGATGATATCCAAGTAACGCTCTAAATAAATAAAAAAACGTACGATTCTTCGGGGGGAAATAATTCGTCGTTCGCCAAGTGATTTGATACAAAGGGGACGAAATTACGCTTAAATAATCCCGGATGCACGATGTTGATAGGTCACCACGTTTTTGGATCGATAGAAAAAATATAATCTTCGATTTTCTTTTTGTTCTTTCCTTCTCTAACATTATGTACAAGTGATAGAGTAGTGTATTATGTGTGCATCGCGTCACAGTAATGCGGTTCTGGATTAAGATCGGTACACGATACGCCAATCGCAATGGCCTTCAAGATTTCGCTCTCGTTGTCGTTATCAACGTGATGTAACGGTGCTGCAACGAACCGTAGAGGAAGTTCGTTATCACGGGCGGGGGGAATTAAAATCGCATCTTAACCCAGATGCCGCGGAAAACGAATAAGCTTAAGCATATGTAGTTAGAGGTCTGGGACAAATGATGAAGGAGAATTCATCCTTATTAATCCTTTCGTACGCGCAAGCGACTTCATTGTCAACTAGTAACTACACCCTGACCCCATTCCACGCTCGCTCTTTAGGCTTTTTCGGAACGTAACGAGGCATTGCTATCTATGTTGTTCGTCTTCGGATACTCGTTATGTAGCGTACGAATTTGTATCTGCGATCTTTGATCATAATAGTTCAGTCGTTCGAAATGGTAGTGGCAGTGAAATGGAAGCAAAAGTAGTTTACACACCGATAACGTATGATCGGGACGTTAGCTTGTTTCGAAAGCAAGTTTCTAACTATCTCGTTAAATGGCAGTGGCTCGGAACGAAATGACTATCCAGAGATTCTCGATGACTCTTCGAACGACATTATTTCGCACTTTTTCTTCACTGTACGAAAAAGCTCTTCTTTCCTCTTCTGCGTAAAATAAAGTTTAAAAAAGGACGTATAAAAAGTCTTTCTTTATCTGACGGCTCTCTAAAGTATTCACGTTATTATTGTACATTTAGAAGACCGTAATTAACATTGTTTGGCAGAAAACATTTCTAGCGATGCACTATAACGCATTAAAATCAATCGAAAACTCGAATCGCACCTGGCTACGTTCATTGGCAGTAAATCTCATCCGCGGATTGTCACGGATTGTTGCTCGCGTCGAAACAGACTAAACCGTTCATCAATAGTATTCGCGAGCGACTGCGAATGGGGTCAAAAGGATTATTTTTTTGCACCTATACGCAAGAAATCTCGAAATTCCCTAAATAACGTTGATCGATTCCTCCGGTCCACGATGGATCGCCAAAGAAACTCACACTTAAAACCTAGAGGCTCGATTACACGCACGTACAGAACACTCGCACGTCATCCCTAAACTTCCGTTCTGATTACAAAATACAGAATAATATTTCGCTATAATACAGATCTGATATAAAAACAAGTATTTTTTGTATTCACTTTACCATCTGTTATGGTTATATAATCATTTTATAATATCAGTATATTTACACAGATATACACACTTGCGATCTATCTCTTTCGCGGTCTCTCACTCACAATGTTTCCTTGCACGCCCGAAAAAAATTTTTTAACTTTCCGTCCCACTTTTTCATAATTTTCTCTCTCCTTTCGCTTATTCTTTTCCCTCACAAGACCTCATATGATCCACCTAATAATCACATTGCATCTATTGTACATTTCCACACGATCCACAAACTCGTATTGTAGCGTCTTTGCTGGCACCTCCTCGTTTCAATCCTGCATCCCTATATCCAACGTTCCGCCTAGATAAAACACAGTCTTAAAAATTACAACGCAGAGAGTTGTAATTCAATTGCGGATAGACATAGAGATATATTGATTACACCAATCGATATTTGAAAATGCGATTGAATTCCTCTTTTTATATTCTACGAATTTCTACATGACTGAATAAAAATCAACGCCAAATTCCGGATAGTTTCATGTTGCTTACAATTTTACAAAAATAATGTGTATGGATGTGTGTGTTATTATTACTTTATCTGCATTGAAGTTTAAAAGATAAGTGTTTTGTATGAATAATTCTCTATGTAATTATAAAGTTGACGAAACGTCGCAAAGCTAGTCTGCTCTTTAGTCTTATTTTGCAAAAGAAATAATATTTATATAAGGTGGGTGCGAAATCGTAATACAAACGAGAAAAAGATGGTTTCTCGTGAATTTTTGCTAAGGTAAGTTGAGCTTTTAATTCTTGAAATGCTACTACAATTTGTTCTCTCAAGTAAGCATCATTTTAACTATTTTAAAAAATTTCGAACAGAAATAGCAGTCTATAGCAAGATCCGTTAGAATCCGGCACACCCCCGGTCTCTCCCCGGGGACCAGGGGGACCTATAAAAGTTTCCTCCCGTAAAAAAAGACACATCAAGTGCACGTGTACTTGATAGATTTTTAAAATCGTTTACGAATCCTCGTACGAAATAAATTATTCTACAATTTCGATTTATTTCTACACGAGAAATCACCTTGTTCTCGCTTGTATTACGATTTCGCACCCCACTGTATATATTCGATTGTTAAAGATATGAATAATAAAAATATAGTAAAAGTAAATCATAAAAAGCGATTGGATAAAAAAACATTTGATCTCTAGCACACAGCTTTTCTCTGAGACGATTTGTTTCTATTTGTTATCGCTAATTTAAATGTCGTGTACGCTCGTTATTATTCATTATAAATAGAATATATTGTAAACAGGAGCGGACACTAGTCTCAACGTTTGTTGCGTGAAGACGTCGAGAGAGATGAGCGAAAAAGAACTCAGTCGTTTGTCATATTTGGCGTTTCGGAGAAGGGAAGTGCATTAATCGTATCGACAATGGTTTGACAGCACCAGATACGATTCATCTCGAGGATGAGAACCGATCTTGTGTTTCTCGCTTACGAGTATGCAGCTGTGTACATGTGTGAGCCCATGTGTGTATATATATATATATATATATATATATATATATATATAT